GTGCCAATTGATCTACAAAGTATCGGCCTAGCCCTATATGCCCAATACACGGAAAGGCATGGACAAGGGTCCTTTACTTTACTTAAATGGTTTATTAAAAAAACTAAGACGGCACATTTAAATTAACATGAAATCAGACACATTAAGATTAATAACGAATACGATCAATTTTGTATTAAGAACAAAGAGCGGAGTTGAGTTGAGTCAAGAATTGACATCACAGCACTCGGGACATTCCCATGCATGCTCCGTCCTCATCTTCAGCAGAAAGCGCAGAGTTCCAATAGTGATGGTACCGGTCACAATCTGGTTAAATGTCCGTCTTGCCTTTCCTTTGAGTGCAGCCGGCGAGAAACTCTGGTTACACCCAGGTGACTAATTCTCTCCAGGCCTTAATAATCCATAATATTAAGAACAAAGACTTAGAGGAGAATAATGGGAAAGGATACGAAGAAGAAGAAGAAGAAGAAGAAGAAGAAGAAGAAGAAGAAGAAGAAGAAGAAGAAGAAGAAGAAGAAGAAGAAGAAGAAGAAGAAGAAGAAGAAGAAGAAGAAGAAGAAGAAGAAGAAGAAGAAGAAGAAGAAGAAAAGACGGCAGCAGCAGCAGAAAAAGAAGAAGAAGAAGAAGAAGAAAAAGAAGAAGAAGAATTAAAAAAAAGGAGAAGGAGAATGAGGAGAAGGAGGAGCAGCAGCAGAAGAAGAAGAAGAAGAAGAAGAAGAAGAAGAAGAAGAAGAAGAAGAAGAAGAAGAAGAAGAAGAAAAAGAAGAAGAAGAAGAAGAAGAAGAAAGCAGCAGCAGCGAAGAGAAAGAAGAAGCAACTGAATGAAATAAGATCCTAGGATAAAGGCAATTAAAAAACCCCTGCAGAAACGGTTCTACACAGACTTGGTTAGTTCCGCATTTACTCCGTACAGTAACAACACTCACCTTTGTCATGGAGTTTTCTAAACAACTTCTCGCTGCCACGAGACAAAGATGGCGTACTTCGCAGCATACTGTCCACCTCGCTCTGTGACAGCCGAGTCCGCCCAATGCGAGCTAATAGAAAAATGAGAAAGTTAAAGTGTTCGAAGTCATTGATTTGTAACCACAGCATCTGTTTTAGGCAAACGATATCAATAATGTTGTAAACTCTAAGGTGATATTGGCGTAAAATGTAAGGTGTTATATATATTATATATATATATATATATATATATATATATATATATATATATATATATATATATATATATATATACCGCACCACTGGGTAGTGGACTGATACAAGACAAGGCAGATATTGCGAAGGCCCTTTTGGAACAAGCAACGGAATCAGTAGAGGAACAGGAATATTAGGGCCTGAAGTAATGCAACATTTGTGTGTGTGTGTGTGTGTGTGTGTGTGTGTGTGTGTGTGTGTGTGTGTGTGTGTGTGTGTGTGTGTGTGTGTAAATAAGGGAGCCACATGGCCGTAGACCACGAGGCAGACCAAGAATACGATCTATAGATAATATACAAAGACAGACCTAATAACACTTGGTGTCATCAACTGGAAAGAGAAGGCCAATCAGAAAGATGAAGGGAGGTGGGTGATATCTGCCGGAATGAAACCAGAGCTCAGAATGTTAAAGAAGAAGAAGATGATGAAGCAGCAGCAGGAGCAGCAGCAGCAGCAGCGGCGGCAGCAGTAGTAGTAGTAGTAGCAGCAGTAGTAGTAGTAGTAGTAGTAGTAGCAGCAGCAGTAGTAGTAGTAGTAGTAGTAGTAGTAGTAGTAGTAGTAGTAGTAGTAGTAGTAGTAGTAGTAGTAGTAGTAGTAGTAGTAGTAGTAGTAGTAGTAGTAGTAGTAGTAGTAGTAGTGGTTGTTCCCACTATATGTCGTTGGCACTATGCCAAAGTCACCGAAGTGCAATTGTGGCGATTTGCACTTTGCATTTGCAAGGCTATTATTTGCCACTTTACAATATGCTAAAGGCAAACATGTGAATTCCTACCAAATAAGTCAAAATGAAATATTACTTTTCGATCAACAACACAATTTCAACGAGATCTGAACTACCAAACGCGATTTTGTCGAAACAAGGATTAGGCACCAAGGTGACTTTAACGGAGCACCAACGACGCAGGGTTGTATCCTTGCCGTTTTGATGCTCACTTTCTATTACTGTAGGGGGCAGCGTGTTCCCGAGGCATGGTGTCCGCCTGGAGTGCTAGAGGTTCCGGTTTCAATCCCCGGTAAGAGTTTGGATTTTTTCACGTGGACTTTGACTACTAGTAATTTCCCCCTGGTCTCCGGGTAGTAAGACCGGATGCCCGTGTGTATTGTTGCGCACGTAAAAAAAAAATCCCTTGGTAGTAGGAAATCGAAAAGAGAAGCCTAACAGCGCTGCCCGGGCAAAATTTGGGTAAAAAAATCTACCTAAAGTATTTCAGGATTCTTGCTGGTGCTACAGAGCTTGTGCATTGTGCTGAGCTTCTTCGGCCTCGGACTTTAGATAGAAGAAGAACCAAGCACTTATGGGTTTACTACCCGTGTGCCATGATATTGATCCGTTGAATAAACATAGACACACTGATCCAGTAGCTTCTATCGTATACTAGTTTTACTTTTCCTTTAGAGTAAACAGGTCGCGGGAGAGAGATCATGGTGAATGGGCAATACACGGTCTCTACAATACTACCAAGGTTTTGTGCTATGGAAAGAAGAAACCTGAAGGTAGGTCTCACTAGTCACACCCACCATCTGCACTGTCTGCGTTTCGCTCCTCCCCACAGCACAGTTAACAATAAGTATGCAAAGACGGAAAGGTGCCAAATTAATCGGTTTCAGTGCATTTAAAAGTCGTGCACTCGCACTTTTACATTTAACTCGAAAACTGCGAAATTTTTTTCTATGTGACCTTAGATTTCCTACAAGCCCTAATGGTTTTATAATACACAATAGTACTGTTGCTGCTGCTTTCTTAAAGCGGCGAATGATGGCGATCTTTGATTGGACTAATAATTTGTGTAAATTTTTAAATTTGCAGTAACTGACAAAGGCGTGGGATATTGTTTAGAAATAAGTGCATATGTTCAGCGCTGCGTGGTGATTATTTTGATAACCTACCTGGCATACAATGAAAAAACTGTGTTCATAATTACCCCCACGGTAGACAAATACTGGAGATGACCACAGAGTGACACGCCTATAAACAGGCGTGCAATCTGATGTTTTGAAGTTTCAGTTTCTCAATCAACTGTGTAAGCATTGGTTTATTGCTTTAAATTGGTGTCTGTCCTTTTTTTTCCTTTAACATTTTCAGCAAATAAGGCAAAATGACGATTAGATTTTGTTTACATTAATTTTTATTTGTTAAAAGAACACGATTACTAACAGGTAACGTGCCCAATTTTAACAACTTTTACCGAACCGTTACTGAGTTACAGATTTTTAAAGTTGGACACTGCTTCTGAAACGGACTATAAATAGTTCTAATATTAAATAGGTACTAAGTAATTTCTCGGAAAGTACAGGCGGTAGATGCGATTTATCCCATACCCGATGCACCAGTGGCTCCACACACACACAAAAAAGAATCCGGTGCTTTAATAATATCTTACCCCAAACAGAGGAAATCAATAAGTCACGGGACAGTCTAATATTTCAGGGAGTAGTAGATAGGCTGCTAGCAGTCGTGGGACCTAGGCTGCACTCTCTCTCGTGGGACGTATGGGTTAGGGCAAGTTCTAAATGTTTTGGGGTCGTTAAAAGCACCAGAAAACAGGGAAACCCAGTATTAACACCCTCTAAAATATTGGACTGTCCTGTGACAACATCTGGGGATGGGATATTAATAAAGCACCTACCTTTACTTGTACTGGTGGAATCAAGAGACAAGTAGAGAAGATCGGGACACCCACCTCGACTTTGAGCCTTCCAAAGACACGTGTATAGTTACGACTGCGATGAATTCCATCCCTCTATTTCAATGAAACGGCACAACGTGCTGGACGGAACTACCTTTGATGATCTTATCTAAATACTTGTTGCATCTACAGATAACCTATGTTAATATGGGGTTTTCCCATAAAACAGATAGCGCTAATCCGGGCCCGGATATTGTTGTAATACGTTTCTATAAGGATATGCAGACTTTGCGACGCGCTCTATTTTGCTGTATTCAACACAGTATCGAGTTTCTAGATACTAGATATGTAACCAGCTTATGTAGTTTCTGTTACTGTCAGAAAGGATTGAGTTGCCCATGTCCTGAGCCGGTCTGTGTTTTATGAGGTATATGAATATCATCACTGACGGTTGAAACGGTTTAAATATTTGCCGATACCTATATTCGATACCCGTGTTCGTATTAATGCTTAGGTCTTCTTTTCTTATAAAAAAAATTGTCGGCAATTTTTTATTCTTTCATTTAGTCTTTCTTAATGATTTTTATGTTTGTCACTGTCTATTTTTTTTTTTCAGTCAGCCAGCGGGATAATGTGTCTAAAATATTTTTTTTTTAAACATAACCCCTAAGCTGCACAATTCGTGGCGACAGAACTATCCAGGAGGCCTTAATTCCCATTCCCTGTGCTCCAAACAGCAGTAAAAAGCAGTACATACAGCCATAAAGGCAGTTTCTTGCTTTCCTTAAGAGCTACCTGTGCCCAGCAATGGTGATAAGGCCTGTTGCGTTGGTAGCAACCAAAACATAGCAGGCGGCAGGAAAAGGAGTAGAACCATGTGCAAGAGAAGTGGTATTTAAAGGGCCCACAGAGACAAAATTTAACAATTTTTTGAAATCATGCTGAGATATCAGTGTGATTGAAAAAAAAACTTTTAGGTAATTCAATTTGCTACCAGAATATATATATATAGACTGTTTTATATGTTATTAAACGCTTTACGTGTTTTTCCCCCCAATAATTTTGTGTGTGAAAAATTAGGATAATTCCTTCCTGAAAGCTCAATTTTCTTGGCACTAAAACTCCAAATAGGGCTCCTTCTAAAACGATTCAAACGTGAGCCGCAAGCAAAGGCTTGGGATATTGTTTAGAAATCAGTTCAAATGTTTAGCGTTGCGTGGTGATTATTTTGATAGCCTATCTGGCATACAATGAAAAACTGTGTTCATCATTACCCCCACTGAACGATGTGTGGGGTCCCCCTCCCCCGGATACATGTGCTCGGCAAAGTCTCAAAAACGATTCCAACCCCAGGAAATTGCGCAGAGATAGCGTCAGAAGTGGTTCCTGATAAAATTCACAATGAAAATAGACGAAAAAATTAATGTTTAGATTTGCAACATATATATCCCATATATTCCAGAGATGTGGTTTCTGAGACCAATGTTACGAATACCTTGGACGGCCAGAGTAACAAATAACGACTGATTGAAAGAAACCAATGAAAGTAGATCTCTATACACACAATAGGAAAAAGACAAACACTGTTCTTTGGCCACATAATGAAAAGAGAGGCACTGGAGAACATCGTGACAACTGTAAAGATCAGTGGGAAAAGGGGTAGAGACAGACCAAAAGAGATAATGCTGGATGGATGAAACGAAGGCATGGAGGGATATCATCAAGAGAGCTTTTCCAGGCAACCAGGGATCGTGGTCTGTGAAGACGCATGAGCACCTACGCCAGTTGGCAGGGCACATGATGATGATAATAGCCCATATTAAAAACATATACTGTGCTACCTATTAATATATGTGTCCAGGTTTTCTGTACGCTCAGACCAAAAGTAAACACTATAACTTACATCACCCGATATCTAATACAGTGTTTCTCAACCTGTTTACATCCGTAGCTCACCAGAACGGTGGAAACTGTTTCGCGGCCCACCTTACAGCTAATCAAACAGGAAACAAAAACGATTGTAGACAGCAGTCTATTCGTTAATTCAATGTAAACAATTTTTTTTTTTTACAGTTTTAGCCAATGCGACTTCTTCTGCTGCTTAGAGGGTAAAAAGTATAATAGACTGCACACGGCTGGAGCGCTGTTTCTTATACAAGAAGCGCTGTAATAACATCTATTCAATAACTCTGTTTAATTTGTATTATTGG